GGTTACCGGTGGCTGCGAGGTATTAATATGACGGTATAAAATCGCCGATTTTCGCATGCGTTTTACGCGGATAATTGTATACATTTTATTCCTCGCCAATTAGCGTACGTGATGTAATATTGTATATAATGTAATTTAATATATTATTATAATATCGCATTTCTCGACGCCGCGCACCGGTAAACCGACGACCGATTGTGTTCGCGACAAAAATACGACGCGTTTACAGCTAGAATACAGATCATGATGGCAGGCGGTGACTTTAACGCGTTTTTATATTTATACAATAACATACCCCATGCACCTGCGATAAAATCTCCACGTCCACCTGCCGCCACCCTCCCTCGAATGTCGTCCCGACGCGGACTTTTCCAGCCCTTTTTTTTTTACGCCGCTCTCGCGAACGCGCCATATGGCTCGTCGGAGACTCTACCGTATTATTGTATAGATATCATATTATTATTATTTTTATTATTGTTGTCATTGTCTCCGCCGCGAATAGCGGACGCTGCAAACGTTCGATAATGGTCGCGGTCACTATATTATTGTTATCGTCGTCGTCATCGCGGTATAGTCTTTCGCGCTCGGTCGGACGCCTCGTATATGGGGTTTTATGTGCCTGTACACCATATGACTAGGATGTACGACATATATACTTTTAGCGATCTATAGCGTTTCGCACGACAGCGACTGCAGAAAAATCGCGATCGCCGACAGGGGACGATATAAATATATTATCCATACGCGCCGCGTTTTTAGTTTGTACCGCAACAAATAACTCCAGAAACGGTTCTGTCGCATGATTGTAGCGGACAGCTGCGGTAACTATACACAGAATCAGACGCCCCTCGAATGCTTCCCGTAATCGAAATTGTATAAGTAAATTTAAAAAAAAAATAGATATGGCCACAATGTGCAGCATACATTAGTCATACATTTTATGTCTAGATAAGATAACTTATCACCTCGCGGCTCACACAGACATAAACAACACCCTTCATACTTCATTCGTAGGATTTACATTGAATCATGTCCTTCGTCCCTCACACACGGACAATTTTTCAGTAAGTTGTGAAGATGAACTGTTCCTATTTTTCATTACTTAAACCGCATATATATGGCAGTATTTTATATTTTTCTACTTTATACTACCTACTTATTGATCTTTGATATCCCTCACTCAGACAATACAGTTTTTTCTATCTTCGCTTTGACCGAAACTGATTACTGAGATGATCTCAACCATATATACGGCCCACTTAATTTGAGCCTCGGGTCTGCTTCAAACCCAAATAAGTTGGTCAAGTATTTGGAGGATTAAAATAATCCAGTATTTCTCTACAAATACTGCAAAAATATATCTATAATAAAGCAAGAGATGAACCGCGTAGCTATAGACAAGATTTCGAAAGCTGAGTGTAGTATAATCTACAGTTAATTATATATTTGTTCAGTGTAAAGCATGTCTTCATCGAGTAATAAGAACATGATCAGTATGGACACGATTAGGGAATTTCAACTCGGTTCTCCTCCTCTCGACTTACCACTATGGATAACGCAAAGTGAATCGGAATGAACTTGGACCTTATACGTCTTAAACATTAAATAAAAAAGGGTCGGAGATTCCAAATACTGCACGCACGCACGTCACATGGGCTGACGAACGTTCCGGCTCCCGCGGGGGGTAAATACTCGCGTATTATATTGTACCTTTACTGTGTGTCTGTGTATACAGGCCGGACATGATAAACTATTTATACACGCGTATATAAGGTACCTGTATATAGGTGTCTTCGGAGCACGAAACCGTTTTTAATAGCGCGCCGTTTAATTTTCACAAAAACGATTATATTGTATAATTCATATTATATGCGCGCGCGTCGCCCGTGGCTTGTGGTACAATATATATATAGTACACATAAACGACTGTTTATGTACCTACCTATATATTTTATAAAGCGACGATGATTATTTTACTCCGTGTGATAATCCGTGAGTATTTATACAAAAGTCTCTGGCAATTATCGCGTCCGGTGCTAATTCAATATCATGCGCGATACGTCCCGTTATAATATCCTACAGTATACTTATGTAGTATATGGCAGTGCAGTTCGGGGGGAGGGGAGGATCGAGCACCCCAGTCGGTGCGGGATTTTCCGTTTTTAAAAGCTCGAAAAAATCCCTCTGTTGCAGAAGGAGGAGGAGGAGGAGGATTGTTGCTCGCGCACGGCGTGACACGCGACCTGCACTTAACTCGGAGACACGTTTAAAATATTATATATAAGAGGCGATGCGTACGGTATTAATATATAATAGCGTGATATTATTTCATAGCTGGTTGAATAAACAATATTATTATACAGACACTCGTGAAGATGATGATGCGGCGGCGGTGGTCGAGTCGTGTCGTGTTTATTCGTATACGGTTTTTAGTTTCCTCGGTGCACTGCTCGTCGTCGGAGACACCGAGAAACGGTCCGAAAATCATTCGGAATTGGGTCAGGGGGTCAATTCTCGAACGGCGCTATCTACTAGTCGTATACGACATTAAGGAATTGTCGAGCGAGATTTTAAATAGTCTATTCTTGAATTTCGCACGACTTAAAGGCGCATGAAAAGTTATGCGACTTTAAAAAGTGTGGGTCTAACCACTCGCCAAGAGTTGTCGTATACGATGTCGTGCATCGATTGTATTTTTAATTATGATAACGGCTAATCCGATATTGTACGACGTACGTAATGGTTATAAATTATAATACCTATTACCTAACTCAATTTTACTAAATCGAACTATTCATTTTTTATTAAAATTAATTACATATTTTACTTTATTAACTATGGCGAATGACGACGAAATGGCTTATTTATTCGCAATCCAAAATCAGCAAAATCAAATTAATTTTCAACCTAGACCAAGAACTGTTAATAATAATATCATTAACTCATTTGAACTTACAGATTCGGCATTTATTAAAAACTATAGACTTACAAAAAATTTAGCTAATACATTAATTCAAGAACTTAGTCCTTTTCTTAAGTCACCGAAAAGATCTTCAGATTTAGATGTATCAACAAAGGCAAGTTCGAGTTGTTAACAATTTAGGAACGGTACCTAGTAGTTTAGTGTAATATTAGATTAGGTATTAAGGTAGATTACTTATTAGGTAAATAATTATATTAAAGCAATTATTAAGAGGAAGAAGAATCGAGTTTTGTTCATTTTTAGTTTAATAGTTAACTATCTATTACCAAAATTAAAAAGTTTTAAATCTCTTGGTTTAAAATCTTGGCACTTATTTGCAATGGCACTATAGCACTAAATAATAGAGAGGGCTATTCTTGTCTATACCACTTCAATATTACCTATACCAAAGATGAAATATCTTTTTGGTAGGGATATGAGTAAGTTTGGTCTTCCTATAGTTTCACTTATGATTCTTTGTCGGGCAGTATTTTATATTGGGCTCAAAAAGACAATAAAATATGTGCTGGAATCCTCTTAATAATACTATTGAAAATTCATATTTCATAAATTAGTAGTTATATATTTTTTTCAGGTTTTAGTTGCCTTAAACTTTTTTGCCACTGGTAGCTACCAGACTCCAGTTGGTAATAGTAGATTTACCTCAGTTTCCCAAAGTTCTGTGTCTCGTTGCATTGAAGAAGTCACATCTGCATTAAATACTGATAATGTATTTGGGAAATGGGTAAAATTTCCTAGTAGTTTAAGAGAACTTAGAAAAGTTCGAAATGAGTAAGCTCTTTTATAAATTACATTTAAATAATCTTAATCATTTGATACAATTGTTTCTTCATAGCCAAAACAATGAAGCACATAGAATAGGGTTCAGTTATAAAATTAATTTCCTATTTTTATATTTTAAATTGGTCCATAAGTTTCTCATCTCATAATTTCTAAAAAATAGTAATATTTGTTTTTAAAAGCCATATGAGATATAATATAGAAAAATCAATTAATTTTGAACACCTCATTCTATGAAATTTGTATTGAGAATAATATGATTAATTTGTACAAGACCAAGTAGATATATTTATATACATTTCAGATTTTATGAGAATACAGGTATTCAGGGTTGTATTGGATGTATTGATTGTACTCATGTAGCGATTGTGCCACCAATTAAAGATCCTTTAAATGCTCATTCTGAATATATTTATGTTAACCGAAAAGGATACCACTCTATTAATGTGCAATTGGTTAAGTATACATTTAGAAAGTGAATAATTGTGTGTGATAATAATAAAGTGAATGTTTTTCCAAAGATATGTGATTCTAAACTTAGAATTTTGAATGTAAATGCTCTTTTCCCTGGATCAACGAATGATTCGTATATATGGAATAACTGTGATGTACTCCCAATATTGGAACAAATTTATCGGAATGGCCAACAAGGATATTTTTTATTAGGTATGTTTCGTTCAACTGCTTATTACTTAGTTTTGATTAGGATTCAGGTGTATCTTTTATTTGCTGAATATTGTGGTTTGAATTTAAAACTAAATATAAAAACATGTTGACGGAAATGACTGTCTTAAGCCGGACAGACACCAATGCAACATGCACCACTTTTTGCAATGTTTTGGAATGCGCTGGAACTTACAATAAAATTTATAATCAATGATACTAATCTGTAACAACTTTCATTCATTCATATAGCAATAATATAAATCATCCTGTTAAAACAATTGTTAATCTAAGGTGATTCTGGATATGCATTAAGACCATGGTTGCTAACACCTATTAATGACCCAGTAACTGATGTTGAGCAGTATTACAACAAAATACAAATGACAACGCGAAGTGCTGTAGAGAGATGTAATGGTGTTCTAAAAATGAGATTTAGGTAAGCCTTAAAATAGATAAAATATTTAAACGCAGCAACAAATAGTAATATTACTCTTAATGCTATTACATAATATATTTAGGTGCCTTTTAAAACATAGATTTCTCCATTACCACCCTGAAAAATGCACGAAAATTATAAACGCATGCACAGTACTACACAATATGTGTATAATACATAATGTTGAACTGCCGGTAGAAGAATCATTGAATGTTTTGATTTTGCCTTAGTACGGTTGTCTTGGAATGTCTGAAATACAATACAAAAGATTGTTGTAAACACCAACTACATTTTAAAGTAAGCACTCACTTTACGCCATTTGTTCCAACTTTTAACAGCCCCGGGCATGGCATTTAATGATTCGGCAATAATTTCCCATCGTTTTTGAGCAATCTTAAAGGTGAACGTACTACTAAACTTACCACTTAGTAGTTGTGGATCGACCTTTAAGAAGCCGTTCAAAGCAATCATTTGGTCGGTGGTTGCTCGGCCTGAAATTTCAGTGGAGTCTTTCGACATTGCGTAAAGATAATGATATACAAATAATAAAAAAATAAAAAATATTCAATATTTCAAACTCTGAGTTCTAACTTCTAACAATATTATAAAATATGAACATAAAGTAAACGAGTAACGACATAACAGTATACAAGCCTATAGAATATTATAGAGTACTGAGTAAAACACTAAAACCATTAAACCTTATCACACTATCAACTATCAAGTTTTGAGTTCTTATCTTGAAAATAACTACAGATAATTCATATACCACAATCGTGGTTTATACGACTTGACGTCACCACTCTACAACATGTAGCGTTCGACAATGTATTTGGCGTTTGGTGTTCAAGAATAAGTAGCAATAGATGTGATTCGGCGTATACGCCAATATCATTCTACTATTGTCGTATACTACTTGATCGACGTATTATGTCGAATGATTTCGAGAATTGACCCCCAGTACACTTTGACAACAACAACAACGACGACTAAGACGACGACGAAAAAGGGAAAAAATAGCGGTCAGCTCGCCGAACAATGGCCGGAAGAAGACACACTCGGCCGGCAGCGTATTCGTTGTTAACGCGCGCCCGACAGACACGAGCTCTACATATATATAAATACACGCGGTCTGCACTATCCGTCGACCACCCCCCCCCCCCCACACACACCACGGATACGACTCTGGCCACTGATTTATCGGTTTGTTGGTCGCAATTATTAAACGGTAATATGTACGAACGTACATAAATATACATCGCAGCTAAGTGTATTTTTTTTATTTTTATATATAATACAGTCATACAGCACTTGCCGCGACGTGTATTACGTTTCGCCGAGAACAGCGGAGAAACGAAAAAAAAAAATGCCGTCCGTTTATAGGTATGAACCATAGGTACACACATAATGTATTGATATGTTTACGAGTATAGCAAAATGTCCTCGCGTTGAACGACACACGATAAAGTATCTGTTACGTTAATCTCAAATTATTTGCGTGTCTTTATTTTCAAAGGGTATTGTACGCTTGCATATATGTGTTATATTATGTACTTATAATATATTATGTAATTTGGTGAAATCATTAGGTGATTATTTTGAATATTTTTCTGGGTATTAATATTCGATTTTGTATTCTACCGCGTTGACTTAGGTATCATCAACGATAGGTTGGTGATTTTTAGTACCTAATCGTTATGATGGCTGTACACGCGACATCGTTTTGGAATAACTTGTCGAAAACTTTACTCATTTTGCACAAATTATTTCCACCCCATCCCATTCCAGGAGAGAGGAGTACCATGCTGCTCAACTTAACGAAGCATTTGAATTTCTTCATCAAGCCTGTAAATATACCACATGAAGAACATTTTTATAAATTTCCATAAAAATGTAGGTACCTACTTATTTTATAAAATTTACAGTTTTTTTTTTAAAACTTGACTCAAAGTTCTAAGAGCAGATTGAATTGTTATAACGTTCTAGAAAAATGTTTATTGTGTATAGATAATGTATAAATATTGTCAACCGTCCAGTCTGCTCCAGATACGTATATTTTCTCATTTTTGGTGGACATTGGATTTTGCATTTTTGATGGTGAATTATTCTTTCACAGTGCGTATTCGTATTACATATCTATATAATCTGTAACAATTATGGTAATCGGACATATGTGACTCAATATAATGAACTAAATTGGCTATAATATTCAAACACTTCATTTGATTTTGATAGCAAAGCAACGCCGGAGTTTAATTTGTACCTAATTTTTACTACGTGATTTGCTCCATCATAAATTCACTTGGAATATGTATGGAGCGTTTACGTGTTTAGATAAAATATTATTATAAAATTACGAAGTTCCTCTTAGATTTGTTTTTAAAATTTAATTTAACATATTGCTCTCTGCAGTGCGCTTATCTGCATATCACGGGAACGTCAGTGCGTTAGGTTCGGTTACAAACAGTACGGTTTTTTTTTATTTTATTAGTGCCACAATTCCCGAGCCCTGGAGCGAATAACGTATTTCACATCACGATCGGGTATTTAAATAATTATACAACTCTTATTATTATATTATATTATAATACCCAAGTAGAACAACACTATTAATACGTGCACTTACATATTATGTGTATTAAGTACGTTTGGTGCGAAACGCTTTTATAATATAATAAATATATATATATATAGACGTTTATACGACGCTCAACAGTGCTAACCCAACAGTCGTACATAGCAATATATATAACTTGTTGTCCGGGTGATAATTTAATTTCGACATGTGTCTTTGTGCGATAAACACTGGACGTGTGCGTGTATCTGCGGACACGGCAGCAGTAGCACACACACACTTACACGTCATGGTAAATATATATATATATATATTTATATTATATTCATGCTTCATGGGTTCGTTTAATGCCATTATTATCGTCTCGTGCAGTAGGTAGATAAATGTGCGTATATTTATGTATATTATATAGGTATATGTATATATAAATGTATATTATAGGTATCTTTAATATAAGCGACTGTTGAACGACGCGATCCGTTATACTTTTGCGTGCGTATTTTTGTTCAACTATTGAATGGAATTATCTGTTATGTTAAAAAAAAAATCGATATAATAATAATATTATGCTTGTGCCGAGTGTGCAGTCCAGCGCTGCCCCTTCGACGTCAGACTTGCCGATTCCATAAAGGCGAAAGCGATATTGGTATAAGTTGTTGTAGGAAGTGCTAAAATAATTTATTTTACACGGACGCGCAGGAGTTTGCCCTCACAGTAACTCACATACCCTACACTCATTTCATGAAAAACAAATGATTTTATTGTGTTATTAAAAACAGATATATAATAATTATTGTACTAAATACCAAGTTTTTAAAACTACTATGTAAAACAGTTCTATACAATATTAACTTTTCGATTTAATAACGCCGGTTATTGTTATGTAAATATTTGTAATTTTAAGATGCGCATTTTACCTAGTCACATGAACATCTCATCCAAACCCTTTCTCCTCCCCAATCTGTCATTTTTTATTTTTGCAACACCACTATTTAGTGTGAATTTTTGCGTCATCGGTCAGCCTGAAAAATTAGAAAATAATCAAGCTAGAGAAACTTTGCGCTTATATTATAATATATACGTTTCTGTATGTACGTTATATACCTATACCTTTGTAATATAATTGCCACTGCTAATTTTTTTCTAATTACGTTCTAGTTACCAAATACCAATTGAATAATTAATGATAACAATATTAAATACTACTGTTACTGTAAGTTGTATGTCTGTGTTTTGTTAGAGAACTATACAGTAGTCATGATAAATAGTTGAAAGAATAACGCACGATTACATCACCACGTATAGGTACACATCGGTAGTTCACAAAAGAAAATAGTACCTATTCATAATAAGCGTAATACGCATACCTAGGTTACTTACTCGCAAGTCAAACAATCCAAAATGAAAAATGTATTCAGATTCGTATCCCGTAATGCTTCAGCACGTTTCTTAGCTGGAAAACTATAAAGTGAAAAAGCCGTCATTGTCATCAGTCGTCAACAATATATAGGTAAAGCCGAGCATAGCATTTGATATCCGTCGTACGAGAGGTATCATCATTTTAATCGGCATTTATATATAATAATAATCTAGACAGTTGTACACGTATGATATTTTGTATTTCTAACATTCCGCGATGCAGCAGAGGACACCGCCGGAACGCTAAATTTCTATATTAATTATATATCGGCACGGACTGTTTGTTTTGTAACCATACCATGGCTATTATATCTACCTATATAATAATATATTATGGTGGAATACGCGCGTATATAATAGAGACGTATTTGTATTTTAGAAGGAGGAAAAAATTAATAAGTCCTAACGACGCGGATAATAATAATAATAAAAAAAACGGCTGCGGTAAGAATGAAGAATCATTAACTCGGTCGACGCGGACGAGTCGATAATTGATAATAATAATAATAATAATACACAGCTATGGTACAGCGTGTGTGGGGTGGTGTAGGGGGGAGGTAACGAAAAAAAATATGAAAAAAACGTATCACGACGGTGTTGTTTGTAAAATATAGTTTCGAGAAGACTATCTCGCGCTCATTAACGGTATTTATTATATATTATTATGTATATAATATTCATGCATACGTATAATATTGAAGCGAGGAAGATTTATTCGTCGACCGTGCGTCGCGGCGATTAGTGCAACGGAGAAAAAGTATTTTTTATTTAAATTGACAGCTAGCGTTAAATTCGCGCGATATTATTCATCGGCGGCGCACTTGGGCAATACACACTGCACACGTATGTCGTATATGCCTATTATACATATTATATTATTATTATTATTACTGTATAGGCATCAGAGACTCGAGGTCTGCGTGCAGACGTGAGCTCGGGGCGCGGGTTAACGGACTCATCGGAAACGGAACGGGCGCGCTTATGATATTACATACGCGCATCTGTATGTAAGTGTTTGTGTGTGTGTGTGTGTGTGTGTGTGTGTGTGTACATCTACAGAGCCGAGGACAGTGAAACAGCAACAATTCGAAAACCATATTTAAAGGTGTACCTATACGTACGTAATATTATTTTTATTATTGTTGTTGTTGTCTCGTTGTTATCATTTCCGATGAATATTACATTATATGTATATGGAAATTGATAAAAAAAAATAATCAATAAACAAAAAAATCTTCATGCGTCCGATGCGAATATGGCGTACCTACCACCTCCGCGTAACATCACACGAGTATATAGTATGGTATGTATATAGTTTGGGTTTAACAATTATACGATATGATATAACAGTCAAAAAAATTATATTCTCCGATCACGCCCATTCGTCAGTCTATATTACATTTTTAGATTTATTTATACATGTAGGTATATTGTAGGTATCTATATACATATTATATTAGTACACTCGTGTATTCTGTATAATATATTATTATATGTTTTTGCGCGCGTGTACACGGTATATTGACTTGCCGTGACTGTATGTATTGTTGTCGGGTTTCTTTTCGAGTCATTCCAGAAAATTAAAATCGAATTTCCTTCGATTATCACTGCAACGTTTTTTTTTTCATTTTCATTCGATTTTCATAATATATCCTACCATATCATTATATTTGTGGAGTCGCCGCAAGTTTAATTTATCTTCCTGTGTTTTTTTCTCCTTCTTTTGTCCCTATGTATATAATCTCTATACTGCTGCTGCAGTCGATTTTTGTTTTTTAATTTTTTTCGTGTTTTGTTGATTTCCTATAGGTATATAACGAATAACCGGTGGCCCGCACCTCTGGTTTTTTTCTCATCCTCTCGGACATTATGGATTAGTTAGCTCACGCATATTTCACTGCAGCGTCATCCCAGGTTTTTGTTTTCCTCTTCGTTTGTCTTTGTCGTCGTCTCTATCATCCTCTCCCTCCCTCTCTCTCCGTCTCTTTCCACGGTTCCGATATCAGTGTAAACTGTAAAACAGAAAACCTCGCGGCGTTGGTCAGATTGCTTGTAAAACTTTTATTACAGCAGCTTATTACCAACAGTTCTGTGGAAACGGAGAGGGACCCAAAACACATATTTAGGTAAAAATTATATTAAAAAATGCCTGATGAAGTTTGGCGTTGATCCTCGTTTTTTGTCCTCCCCCCACCTTGCAGCGTTGGTGTAGATAGGCAAAGCGCCGTTCTTGGGATTAAGTCGGTGTCGAGATATTCAATATATATATATTATTACTCTAAATATGTGTCATTAGAGCTGCAGCGGTGAAGTTTTTTTTCGAGATTGTTCCGTTTTCGCCTCGAAATTCGCGTTTCATTGTTTGAATGCGCTCTTTGACATTGTTACGAGATTTAGACAAGAATTTTTGGATGTCGCCCTAGCTGCAGCCAGTTCGTTATTCGCTAGCTAGGTTTTGATATTAATTATAGTGTCTGCAATTTTTTTGTTTCGGATTTTTTTCCTTGTTTCCACCAACACCGGAAAAACTCGTGGCATAAATAATAGGTAATATTATTATATCCTCATGCTGGCTGCAGTATAAAACGTATAGTGGGCATAACCTCTCCGTCGTTTTCGATGACCTGTAATTCGATTTTCTATCGTCCTTAAGATGTTCACTCAGCCGAGGTTTTGCGAGCATTTATTATATATATTATATTATCGCGTTTCTGTTTTCGAGTCATGGTCATTAAAATGTTTGTGCATTATTGTGACGGCGGCGGATGTGATGCTGCAGCGTGGCGGCAATACGTTTGTGGCTTATCCTCGCACTCTTCATCCGTCACAATATATCAGCGTCAGTTTTGCTCCGTCTGAACATGCGTATATAGGTGCACACAACTATTTGTAAATATGTGTCATCGTATAGGCCATTTGGAAAATTGGTCTTTTTGGTAACCTGCAGCATGGTGTGGAGTTTGTTAAACTCTCTCTACTCGGTACTTATATAACGCTGCTATTAGTATAATATTATGTTGATGAAAAGAGTTAAATTCAAGTTAATAATGAAAATATAATGATGAAACTTGAAAGTTACTTATACTTGATGTTAAATAACTGCTTGGCTGGTCTATAGATGTTTAGGATAAATGTAAGTAGATATAGTATTAAAAGCAACAACAAAGTTTTGTGCGGATTCTGCATTAAGAATAAAAACTATAAACTAGTACAGCGATGAGCCTATATATAGCGAAGGACGGAGCGGAAAGCTTCTGAGAAAATTAAGGATGTTATTAGCTATTACTTATACCTATTAGATAAATATAAATATTTTAAAAAGTTACGACGGGCGTAATTATAAAGAAAATCGTGTAACTGCAATTATTGTAGATGCAGTGTATCATGAGTCATGACTATGTTATAGTATTATGTAGTTGGCTATCCGAATAAATCGAAGGACTTATTTATAGTTTATACACATAAAAGCCGCTTATATAATATTATAAACGTTGCGATGTCGGGTGGAACGGGATTCGATGCCTCAGAATTACTACTGTTGCAGCTGCTGCTGCTGCAGGATGAATGCAATTGTTCCTCCGACCTGTTGATTATAACTACGCGGGGGGAAATGGACTTCTCTCGCTACGACTTTATTACATTATATTATATTATATTATACGCTCCAATGGTTAATTTGTAAGACATTGTGTAAATCGTAGAACGATAATAATATTATATGTATGTATTATAATGTATATAGTTATTGAATAACGACGTTAAAAGTGGATTTTAATTATTCGTTCATTGAATCGTCTCGACGGAGAGCCGGTTTACGAGCACATCGCCGCCGCCGTCGTCTTCAGCCGGCTTACATATTATATAGAGGTACACGATGTTATATATTGTCTTCTACGAGTTGTATACGATATTATATTCCTGAGCAGTGTTTTGCGTATATACTACACTATACTAGGTATGTGATGCGTTCGATTGCTCTGTATATATATATATTGACTTCATGTTTATCATGTCATATCGTATTAATTAATATTTGCAGGTTATAAATTATATCTAAACGTACTTTAATTAATGCAAAACTGTATATTATGTGTCGTCGGAATATCCAACGCTTTTTATCGAGCATTTACAGCCGCTGATATTACGACGGTTTTATCTCGCGCGCGCTATTGGCTTCACGTATAATATTAAAATATAGTTTATTATTTGCTACTATTAATCATACGAAATAACTAACTTTGAAACAAGTCCTTATACTATTCCACACACACACACACTCACAATTATTTAAACCTTTGAGAGTAACGATTTTAAAGTTACTCGAACGTAGAAGTATATATACGGTTCGAATAATATATAAATAATATATATATATTGTATTTGGATGGGGGGGGGGGGGGGGGTTGTAGCTTATCACGTCGCGAGGCGGTAAAAGTTTTCCCATACAGTGTCTCTGCCGTCGACGAGCTCGTGTTGTAGCCGTTCGCGTTCATAATCGCGTTGCAAAACTTTTCCCGATTCTAGTGCGAACGTGCGGTATAATAAACGCACGACTAAAGGCGGATTTACACGTTACCAGTTGCTGGCATACTAGCTGGCATGGTAGCTGGAGGGTCACTGGCGTTTGGCAACTGGAATTGGCAAGTTACTGGTGCCCATCGTTTACACGACGCCAGTTACTATAAATGTATTGGCACATAGCTATTAATTTGTGAACCTATAATGCAGTAGTGCTTTTGCAGTTAACATAAATAAGCTTTGTAGCATAAAATACATTTTTTCAGTACTTTAATTTCATTATGGCAGAAACAGCTAACATCATTGCTTTTAAAAAAGCAGTGCGTTCTATTTCTATATTGTTGTGTGACGAGCTATTGGAAATATGTGAAGAGGAATCGAAGAAGAAAAAACGAAAAGTTTGGATAAGAGATTGGATGGATAAAAAAAAATGTGGAGCATCACAAACAATTATAAAAGAACTGCATGACAATGACCCACAAGAATTTAGATCTATGATTAGGCTAACACCAGAACAATTTGAAGCGTTGTTGATTATGATAAGTCCAATCATTACCCTTGAAGACACTTTTATGCGTGACGCTCTACCGGCCAGGCTAAAGCTAGAAATGACATTAACATTTCTAGCTTCAGGAATGAATTTCAGAATGTTGTCAATTATGTTTCGTGTTTCTAAATCATCTATTTCAAATATGATTCCTGATGTGTGTGATGCCATCTACTCAGTTTTGAAAGATTACATAAAAGTAAGTATAAAATACATACATTTTTTTTTAATTAAATGATTTATTAAATTTGATAAATTTAAATAATAAAAACATAAATGATTAACCTTTGTAACAAATTTAAATAATAAAAACATAAATGATTAACCTTTGTAACAAATTTAAATAATAAAAACATAAATGATTAACCTTTACAACAAATTGTAATAATAAAAACAAATAAATGAAATCACAATTGTAACAAATTTAAATAATAAAAACATAAATGATTAACCTTTACAACAAATTGTAATAATAAAAACAAATAAATGAAATCACAATTGTAACAAATTTAAATAATAAAAACATAAATGATTAACCTTTGTAACAAATTCAAATAATAAAAACATAAATGATTAACCTATATCACTATAAAACATAGCTGAATGTATAATGTCTCTAGTAGTACTTTTTTCACTTGAATTTGTCTCTGGTGTGTATGGAATTGATTCTATAGTAGAAGCAGTACTATTAGGCATGGAAAATGTAGTTATTGATGATGATGATAATGATTTCCTGTTCATGTTTTCCAACCGGTAATTCATAAGAATTTTTTGAATGTCATAGTGTGCTAGTACTCTGTCGTATTCTGTTAGCTCACGCAATTGAAAAGCTATATGTTTACCCATGATATCACACTCGTCTTCCCTAGCTATTGTTGATGGGTTCATTGATTGATTCAAATTTTTTAAATCTTGTACAGCGTCAGTTATGGCCTCCAATCTTCTCTTTCCTCTAAGTTTTGAACGCGAGGGCAGATTAAATGTAGTCTTTTCACTTCTAAGAGTATTTTCTAATTGTTCAACATGTGACACTGGTGCACTATTATCAATTAAATCATCATCAACAGCTTCTTCATTATTTAAGTTTGAAGTGGTGTCATCATTGTCTTGAATTGTGTTTTGGGTTCCGATTTCCTACAAAAAATAATTTTCGATTACTTATAAAATTCATAATTAAAATATAAATATAAAATCAATAGCAAAAATACAATTGTATTATTTCTTATGATGTACTATATTTCAGGTGCCAACTTTAAAAGAATGGCAGAAAATTCAACTTGGATTCAATGAAATATGGAACTTTCCTGGATGTTGTGGAGCTATTGATGGAAAGCACATAGTAATTAAAGCACCTCCAAGTGCAGGGAGTGAATACTACAATTACAAAGGCACAAACAGTATTGTTCTTCTTGGCATAGTCGACCACAACTATTGCTTTAGTTATATTGATGTCGGATCCTATGGACGAAATGCAGATGGTGGTGTATTTCAACAGTGTGACTTATATCCTTTACTGGAAAATGAGTCATTATTACCCAAAGGAGGAGTTCTAGTGGGGGATGATGCCTTTCCCTTAAAAACCTACCTTATGAAACCATATTCAAAGATCAATTTGACAAAGGAAGAAAGAGTATACAATTACAGAACTAGTAGAGCCAGGAGAATTGTTGAAAATGGTTTCGGCATAGTAGCCAGTCGCTTTCGTATTTTTGGTCAGCCTATAGCAGTAAAAGTTGAAACTACCATAAAAATAGTAAAAGCTACATGTGCTATACACAACTGGTTGCGATTAACTACACCTGCTTCTTACACACCACCTGGATGTTATGATTATGAAGATATTGTAAATTCTACAATAGTACAGGGGGAGTGGAGGTCTGAAATATCTAAGATGCCAAGTATTTTGCGTACACGAAATTACAATAGGCCAAAGAAAATTGCACAACAAGTAAGAGAAACATATAAAGAGTATTTCAATGGAGAATGGGCAGTTGAATGGCAAGATAGAATGATATAGTATTATAGTAAATATAATAAATGTAATATAATATAATATATATATAAATATAATATGTATAAATATTAATGTAATATTTGACTATAACAAAATTGTGAATATTTAAACTTTAAATGTGTTTTTTTAAATACTTATTTGTTAGTTAAGTATTTAATAAGGTATTAAGTATAATAATTATTTTGATTTTAAATAAACTAATGAAAACTGAATTATGGTTTACTCACCAAATTACTGTCGGTTTCTTTTCCTTTCACCGTTGCTGTATTAATAATATAGCTCATATCAGTATACCACGGTACTAGAGGTTTGTAAACAAAACTAGTGCCTCCGCCACTAGCCTTACTTTTTTCAACTTTCGCAAGTTCTAAATAGTATGTTGACCGCAAAGATTTTATTTTTTTTTGGTACGTCTTTCATAGTGAAGTTGGGAATATTTAATTCCCTAGCAATAAATTGCATTGACGCACTTCTGGTATCACGATTTCGATATTCAGGAACAAACATGTTCCAAAGGTTTTCATGTTCGCGGTACAATTGAACAAATTTCAAAGTTGTTTCCTCATTCCAACGGCTATTAGCCATTTCGATTTTTACTTTTTACACACGTGTACGATGTACTGTTGATAAACAGTAATATAAAAATATGATAATAATATTGATAAACAAAATATGTTATCACTGTTATAACCCAGTAGTTGGCGCAGGACTGTTGCTGTTTACACGATGCCAGTTAGCTGTTTTCGTTGCGGTGATGTAGTGGAGGGGGGAAGCTGTCTAGCCAGTAAAACAAAATAATTTGTTTTACTGGCAATGCCATCTGCTGGCACGCCAGTGTCCACTGGCATTCTCCAGTTGCTGGCAGATTATGTTTAGACGTTGCCAGCCGCTGGCATTCAGTAACTGGCGTCTTCGACTGGTACGCCGACTGGCATCGTGTAAATCAGGCTTAAAACAATGTTACTGCCGACGTGGTTTGTACACAAACTCGCGACGGGTTGATGACGATATTGGAGTTTAATTAAAAATAAAACTCAGACTATAAATAATATATACGCGTGCAGGGTATTATATGATATGTATATATTATTTATACATGTATCATATGAGTGACGCGATCGACGGATCTTCGGCGTCGTCGCAATAATTGTACTTACAAGATTAATTATTCGTGTACGAGATAAAATATAAACACATATATCATTATATATGTATCATGTGCGTTGTATATAAGACGCGTTTCGCCGCCGGTGATTTTTTTCCCCTATTTTTTTTTCGCGTCGTCGTGTCGGCCAACGGTTCCTCGGCGCGGGTCGTGGTCGTCACCGCTTCACAACAATATACGTATAATATATACACCATATATATATATATATATATATACATAATATACCTATATATACCCGGGTATAAGGCGCAAGTCGAAATCGCGTGTCCTACTTGTGCGCGCACGTCCCAAATGCCGCCATTGCAGCCTCCTCCACAGCCACCGCCGCCGCCGCCGCATTGTTGTGTTGTAATTACCGTTTATATATTTTATATACACTCGATGGTTGTCGTAGTCGTCGCCGGTATGGAACCTTCGTCGTATAATATACCGTCACGACCGTGACCCTTTGCCGCCGCCGAAGAGTGTGTGTATAGTACGCGCGTGTATGTAGGTTTTCTCAAAACGAAAGAATGGTAAAACTAAATAAATAAAGGCAGTCGTCGTGCTACAAACTCTTCCGGGGGCAGACCCCTCAACCACCCCCCAGTATTATCATTCGTGTATATGTGCGCCTATTTATGCGTATAATATATATCTATTATAATAAATACGCGTCTGCCATCGTGTGAGTATGCGCGCGTGTGGTTGTGTGTGTGTCCCGGCTATACATATTCTCTATAAATTATTTGGTCTCCGTATTGTATGTAACGTCCAATGTACATGCGATCGAACGCATATATAATAATAATAATAGCATATATTCGTACATAATGCATATATTATATTTTATACATATACCTAGAAACGGGATAGCTGTACACTCGGAGACTTGAACGAATCTCAGCTCGATGATCGCGCAATATGATGAGTATAAAGTTCAGAGGGTGCATCACTGCAGCTACTTTAATATGTGGTCGTCTTCAGACCCGCTCGCCCAGGTACCGAATTCACTCGATCGAAACGCATCTCGCTGCAGGAGGACGGAGGTTCGTCGTCATTATATCCTAAGTGCTCGAAGAGATCCGATCGCAAAAATGTCTGTCCTTTGGTATGCGTATAAGCGTGAAAAAAAATCACAATTTCAGTTTCTCGCCGTTGTCCATACGGATTTATATGTATATAATTATTGTGTCCGGACTCTCGGTCATCCTATACACTCTCGCGCATTAGTCCTGCCATAACGAGTATAGAAACTGCATGCGCCCGCGGTGCAGCGTGTGTCTTAAGACCAGTGAGGTATAAATTATTGTTATTATTAATACCTATAGGTTTGTTTCTATTTTTTTTTTTCGTCCGTATAAATATTCTGTAACGGCGTGCGTGATGTACATTGTTGCGTTGTCGTTTCTGGCCGCCTTTCGTATTAGGTATATAATATGGGTACACCGCGCGTATATCATGTACCTATATTTATACCTATATGTAACTATGTATGATGTACCTATACCGATGATACACGACGTTATTATTATTATTATTTATATTCTTTCCGTTGTTTTTTTTTTCATCCCGTCTAATAATACCCCCTCCCACACGCGAGAACCGCGAAAGAAACGCCGTGATGTGGTACAGATACACGCCGCGGTGTACACACATTACAGGTATATACTGTCTATATTCTGTGTAATATATAAAAGAAAAAAATCGATTTCCAGCGGAGAGCTGTCATCACCATATTTGATCTAAACGGCGGCGCGCGTAAACTCATGTGGGAACTCTGCAGCAGCAGCAGCAGGGCACAACTACGACGACCATAAACACGCCTTTAATTGCGCTTACGTGTTTAATGCGTTCCGATCTGATATTGAGCGAGCTCGCGCGAGCGTATATTGCAGCGAGAGAGGATAAGCCTAGCGGAGAAGAAGAAGAAAAAAAATATATATAATAAACGTCGCGTACCTATGTACAAGAGTCGGCCGGGAATGAAAAAAAAAACCTACATAATACCGTATAGTGCTGCGTTTTAGCGAACGACTACGACTATTATATTCGTATACACGACGACGACGAGAGGCCGTGTCGTCGTCTTCGTATGGTATTTATGCGAATTTTCGATATCGTCCGAGTTCGTGCTCCCGTATAAAATAATAATATATCTTCAGCCTGCAGCACATGTGCATATGAGTAATCGCGAAACGAGCGAGAAACGGTACTTAAAGATCGGCTGTGGCGGCGGCGGCGATGTGGTGTACTTACTTTAATCTCTCGCATATTATAATATTATGGCCGGAGCAGACACTTGCACAGCACCTTTGGCCGCGGCGCAAATGTATAATAATAATATATGTATAGGTATACGGTCATCTCCGACGTGCGCGTATTATAATATAGTCGCGTACGATATATATAAGAAACCAACAACAGCAGCAGCAGCAAGATAGAAACGGTCCGCAGGAAAGGAGGATGGAGTTTCATGACCACCGGCGGCGGCGGCTTCGTCGTCGACGAATATAATATATAATATTATTATACAAATATGGTAGTGGTATATTGGTCTCCCGGTATAAACCATATATATATAGATATGCTTACGTGGCGTGTGTACTTTACCCTTTCGCGCCTCCTCCACGTGTACTCCGGTCGTGTGTTGTACCAGCTATACCTATCTATATGTACAATTTATATAATATAAAACGTATACCTAAGTGTGTACCGCGTGTTATAATACCTACCTCGGTCTGGGGTTTTATTTGCCGGACTTTTTTCGCCCAGTTTTTATTCGTCGCGATCGTATAAATTATGCAAATCGATTACCGCCCAGGCCCCTCGAGCCATCCGAACGCGCACGACCGGTCAACCCCTTGGCGAAGTGGTTGCAGCGTGCACTTACATATTTTGCGTACCTGCATACCTAGCTACTATATGTAGGCCTATATACTATAGTGCAGGTCGACTTGGAGAAGAAGATATATAGTCTCTAAAGAGAGGCGTCTGTGAGTTCGGAAAAAAAACAATCGCTTATTCCGCTACATAAACCCATTGGTTTTTAAGTCTGTCGCACTCTGCGATGCGTTTAAATACTTATTATAAAATGTTTGTTTCATAGTGAGCGATTAGTCACAAATGATATTAATGAACTATATACATATAATATATTAGCCCTTTGTGTACATATGCTTGGAACTCCCGGTCGCGGCCCGAAGTGTACCTTTTTCCTTTTTCATATCCCGATTGAGGCTCGTACAAATTTGTGGTAGGAAAATCTATTTTTGGTGGCTTATAATATTTAAACTATATAGACATACCGATCGCGTCTTACATTTTTGCATTTAATACAAATATATATTACATATTGTATATGTTACATATTCACACAAGCGATAACACAGTTTATGACTTGGATACTCTTTTCCAAGCGAAAAACGACAACATTTTGTCCAAATTCCAATTGAAAAACTTAATATCAAAGCATTTAATTTTGAATTCATGAAAATATTGGTGAGATATTATAAAATTATTTTGTACAATTTCTGCATTACTTTTATATATATTTTGACTATATAGATATAGGTATTAGTAGGTATATGATGCGTTATTAATTGTAAATCTTTTTCACTCTGCTCCATAAAAATGCATTTTAAGACTTTCTACAATTATTGACCATTCAATTTTTATAAATTTATGTTTTGTATAATGGTTACAATTAAGTTACATTACCTATATTTTATTTATACGTTATTCACTGAACCGATTCGGTTCCATTCTTGTGTTCGGGTTGTCATCTGGCATCTATCCGGTACATGGTGTCGCATATATATATACTAGTGCATCCATGTATAAATGTCGGCGTTTC